CCTCCGGAAGTCCATGGTAGCAGTTTTGCTATTGACTTACTGCATAACTGTTCCTTATTTTTGGAGGGGGTGGGGGGCTTCGAGGGGGATTAGTTTTTGAGGAAATTGTAATTCTTGTTTTATGGTAATAAACCAGACCATAGGATTTTCCTTTATGGTGACACACTCATATATGATGAAATAGACAGTAATATACATCCCTAAAAACTTCCTTTAGCAAGTGGGGAATCTGGACAGGGAAGTGTTAATTCTGGAGACCATTAATGTGACTCATAACGACATTTAGTTCTCAAAAAAATCAAAAAGCCAAAATTTATATCTGGAAAATAAAAGACTTGGCATTATCCCCTGCCAAAATTATTCCAAGTCTGCATAAGACGTTTGCATTTGAAGGGAACACAAAATATCGTTGCTTATGTCCTAATATCTGGATATACTCACAGAGAAAGAAGGGTTATTTCCTTGGAAACTGTAGTGTCTAAACTAGTAGACTGGTGGTTGACCCACAGCTTCTTAGATGTTTAACGTAGAACTGTTACTTTCAATAATACTGCAAAATAAAATATTCTTCCTGAGGGAAAATGGCTCTAATAGCTTTTGGGGTAACTAAATATTCCTTGTGTCATTTATGACAGCAAGCGCTCAACTAAGTTGCTAGTAAGTGCACATATTTGGTTTGATATCTGCTGTGACTGTAATGTAGCATGCATGTACTGGAGCAGACGTTAATTGAAATATCTCTGATACTGACCTAGCTATGGCAGTGCAGCAGCTCCGTATCAGCTAATCACTTAAATACATGCCAACTTCCCTGGAAAGTTTTTTTTTTTTCCCTAGTGCCCACTTCTCTGCTTCACTCTGCTTGTGAAAACTAGTTCCTCACTAGAAACTGAGACCTCATTTCTTTTGTTCTGTACAGGTTTGCCTAAGTTCAAAAAGGTGTGTTAAAAACTAGAGTGAGTGTAGATGTCGGAATGCAGAACATATCCTACAAGAGAGGATTAAAGAACATGACTAGATTGTTAAACTATACAAAACATAAACATGATTTACTTTATGATTACAGGTATGACGCTAGCAAAAAAAAAAACACCACCCACTTCAGGCAATTGAGGTTCAACTCTAGAATATTCCCTTGACTCTTAGAAGTCAAAGCAGATTTCCAAATTATGCTTCTGTAAATAACTAATCTAGTAGTAATGTCAAACTTCTTTGCTTTCCTTATATCCATAATTTCACGCTCTCCAGCAGATATTACGTACAATGGCAAATAAAAAACAAGAAATGTGCTTTACGAGGCAGGTGAAAGACCTGATCATGCTTTCTTTGAAAAGCAGGCCAAAATCACAGAAATGAATGTGTAATCCAATTTTTCAGCAGGTTAAAAATGTCAGGTTTTAAATATGATTTTATTTAATGCTTTTCACAGGACCGTCGAATAGAGGAGTTAACACTATTGCTAAGCCAGTACAGGAGGGTCAAAGAGATAATGATCGCAGCTCACGGTAAAATGTCTTGTGAATAATTTCCTGATATCAGGTCTTCTAAAAACTGCGTGCACTACACCTGCTATTTGTTGTCCTTTTAAATATATGTGTATAATAACATATATTTCATTATGCTTCTATTTGTATCATGTTGGAGTGCTATGAGAGCAAGTATACACTGTTTCAGATACAGAGAGAACCAGAGTGTGTCTTGAGCAGACTTGTGTGTCACTGCCTGTAGTTTGTGGAGATCTCCTTTTTGTTTCCTGTGCTGTAGTCAGTACAGAAAAATAGGGTCAAATCTGTCTGGAGATTTAGTTGTAATGTTACTATTCAGCAAGACTTCTGTGACTGAATCTTATACTCAACTCCACAAGTCATAAACTAATATTTGTTCTACATCAGTTAATAGTAAATTCCTCCCTGGGGCCTAATTTTGGTGCTATGTGTTGTTTTAGATGGTGTCATTAAGACTTTCATTGATAAGGAAGGATGACTGATGAGATTACTGCTCTGGCTGCACAGCTGTGTGACCTGCTCATCAGTTGGGTCTGAAACCCTGTAGTTTAGCTCCTTATGTGCCAAGGCAATCTGAAGTCAGCAACTGCTCTCCTTAAAACACTTTGCTATATACTGCAATGGGGCAGGAGCTTTGGTTGCAGAACTCCTACATCCATGTAGCGACGGCCGGGTGGACAGCTGGGGCCATGGTTTTGCTAGCTACGTCATGCAGCCCTGTCCCTCCTCACTGACGGGACTCCTGCAAGTCTCTTCCACAGTGCAGGCCCATGACAGGTCCTTCATGGCCAAAGCTTCATACTTCCTTTTTCACTGCTGCTGGTTGCCGTCCCCTCAGTTGTACATGGGTTGTAGAGGCCAGAACAAAAGGAATTCTAGCAAAAGGCTGAAAAGGAGGGAGCAAACAGCAGGGCACTCATGCAGACATAGAATTTGTCAACACAGGGGCAATTAGGAAAGTTCATTCAAATTAGCTAAAGGCATGGATTTACAGTATTCTTGTGAAATTGCACTATATCCCTCTCAAGAATCAATTACTCAAAATTAAAATGACATTCGGTTTGATTTAAATTAATTAATCTGTAGGAGATGAATAAAGCATACAGATCAGTATTAAGTTTGTATGGGGTTTCCTGTGTGTTATGAGTAACCAGTTTCTACAGTGTAAAATGACATCAGGAGACATTAATGGATGATGAACGTTAATTAAATACATCCTATATTCAGATTTCCTACAGCACAGTTCAATTCAGGAATGGCAGTAATGACGCCAGCTAGTGTCAATGACACGATGTTTTCCTTTTATGTCATGTTTTTTATACAGCATTCATAAATGGGAAGCTGATCTCAGGTGCAATTTGATACTGTTAGTAGGCCTTTTTTTTCTTTTTTTGCTAAAAAGAGTTGCAATGAATATAATAAGTTCTGTTGCCTTTCCCTTCCCCTAAGAAAAATCCTGACAGCTGACTAGGCAAGTTCTGGTTCAGAGGGAACAACTGAAAACCAGAAAAATTTTACACATTTAACTGTAAAATCTGGAGAAAAATCTTTGCCCCACTTATCAGTTACACTGCAGGAAGTGGAGTGGGTTTTAGGACCACCTCATTTTAAGTTGCCACCTTAGTCTATATTTAGTAATGAAAACTGGGAAACATGACCACCTGAAAGGACAGTTTTGTTCAATGTACATCATGATGTTAACAAACACAGTATTTTCAGGTCTTGTATGGCAGAACAGAAACTTGTATTTAACACATAAGAATAAGGAACAAGAGTCACGTAAATCTCTCTCTGAACGTTCATTTAAAGAAGGAAAAAAAACAGTTCTCCCACTTCAAAGTTTTCTGAAAGGAAATCCAAAGGTGTGATTGGAGCCTGTAGAGACATATTGCCATTAACTCCCAAGATAGCTACACCACTGTTACCCTGAGAGTAACAGTGCTCTCAACAGTAACACCCGCAGTTCCAGTCTCCTTGGCCACATCCTGGTTGTACATATTTGAGTACACCATCCCCCTGGGGACATGGCTTTTAGAGGACACGGCTTTTGGAGGACGCTTGTGTGCATGAGCAAGGAGCAAGCCACCATGCGTTGGATTACTGAGTTGGTGCTGCAGGGAGTATGATGGTGTTAATGTATGCTAGTATAGACATTCAGTACAGGGTAAATAACAAACCAGTGATGCTCAGCATCAGAAAACAAAATCAAAACCCAAAACCTGTGTGGGTACTAGAGTGCGTACTGAGATAGTCCACACCGAGGTGCGTACTGTGATGGCTACAACGTTATCACAGGCTGAATGAGCTTGTTACCTTATGTGTGTTTGTGGGAGTCTCATGTTTAGCTTGCCAAGAAATATTTTGCTGATTATTTATTTTTTTTATTTTTAGAGGTGTGTTTTGAAGTTTCCCTTTGAAGTGTAATCTCTGCTTAAAAACTTCTGGTACAATCAAGGGGTTGAAATCTTCTGATAACTGTTTCAAATAATTACTTGACAGAAACACAATGTATTGTAAGCATTTATTTCTGCTTAAGGCAAGCTACAGGTCATGTTGACAAAAGACGACTGACTCTTCACCATAGGTAGCACATACATTTTAAAAAACAAAATCTATTTTGGATTAAAGTAGGGCAGCTGCTTGAAACAGCCACCGACAGCTGAGTAGACTGCAAAGGCGCGATCCTGAACTCAACTATAGAGGTAGCTCTTTTGGTTGTAGTCATTTGTGCCAGCTGAAGGGCTGTGTACCAGGAACCACAGCATAAGTCACTTCATATCCTGAAGGGCCAATGGTCAGCGCCAGGTTTGTAGGCGGTCTTTGTAGCTGAACAGCATGATAACCAAGCTCCTGTCTAATGAGTTTTTAACTGATTTCTCTTCTACTAGTGCAAAGGCTTAACCATAAGATTTGGTGGTTTTTCATAACTGCCTAGAGCTGCTGCACATCTATCGCATAAATTAGGAATTTAATGTGCTTAAAGGTCAGTCTAAATTTCTCCATCATGACATAGCAGTCCTTCCACATCCTGTTCGCAACCCTATGATAGGAGATCTCCAGAAAAAAATTCTTATCCAAAACACACCAGAAGTTTGTTGAGCACTAAATATTCAGACCCTGATTTAGTATTGCAGCTTTGACAATTTAGGAATAAAAATCCTACTAAATAATGATTTTGGAGTATTTCAGTATTTGTTTAGATCTGGGATACCCAGAAAAACCGGGAGCATGTTTACCTTGTTCATCCTTGAACTGAGCATGGGGCACTGCATTATGATACAGATGATGTCAAACATGCATACTACCTATAAAGCGATATTCTAAGAGTGAGAAAATGGTACCAACTTGAACTTGCCTCAGAACATGACAGTGTGAATTAGCATGGTTCAGAAGCCACCTCATAAGCAGCCCACCTACTCACAACAGAGCACAGCATAGAACTAGAAATGGTAAATTTGTTGCTCTAATATAAACCAGCTTGCTTCTAAGTCAGAGCCCAAAGGAGGGGCAGGGAGCGGAGAGGCGGGTAAACTGCATGTGTCAGATGAAGACTGAAGGGGAATTTAGAAACTGAAGTATTAGACTGTCTGATATGGTCCTAAATGTTATTTTTTTGGCCTCTTTCTCTCCCTTTCTACTTCTGATCTTTAACGCTCACAGGCTCTTCTGTTTCTGGTGGCAGTGAAGAGGAACTTGAGACAACTTTAAGGAAGTGGAATCTTTTGAATAATCCTCAAGGAGAATTATTTAAAACAGAGGTACTTAGTAAAGATGTTTTAGAAGCAAGTTCTGCTGTATATATGATTTCTTTGTATTGGTTTCTCTGCAGTAGCTAAGGTAATCTAGATGAGGGTTTGGCTCTGGCTTGAATTTTTGTGTATCTTGGTATGGGCACTATAGATTCAGAATCAGGCACTAGAGTTACAGGCTTGAAACTCTTCCATTTTGCACAGGCCTCTTCAGGAGAATTGTCACCAGCTATGCTCTCTCCAGTGCCACACAAAGCTATGGAAATCAGGCAAGACCTTTGTTTCTTGTTTTTCATGTGGATTGTCCTAAGTCTGTATTATTTAATCTGTTTAAGATTTAATCTGTTGGCATCTTGTCTTGCCTGTTCCTGGCTTTGCAAGAACTTTTGGGTACTTGTGAAAGCAGTGTTTGCCCTGGGAGTTTGCAATACATAGTTGTATAAGGTTTGCATTAAAGGAATAAATTAGCACTTTTATGTATCAGAATTTATATGTATTGTAGTACTTAAACCAATGTATTTTATTCTGATTTAAAGTGGAAGCATTCCAGTATCTTCAACTAATTTAACCTCTCCACAAGAAGAATCTTTGGAAATCATAAATAGGTAAGAATGAGTAACTTTAATTGAAATGTAAACATATAGCCAGAAAATTTCTATAATTCTGCTTTTTTCAATTTTTAAAATCTTTTTAAAACCCCTAATGTTGCACACTGTTCACACAGAGTTCTTACTGTCTACTTTTACTTGTTAAGAGCTGCACATTGTACCTTGTTGCCTCTCATTGTTGATCAAAGGATGTCTTCTTGTTGTTTCTGACTTCATCTACTGCAGTTCCCAAAGCTATGAGTTTTAGAATAAAAATATGACAAAAGAAATGAATCTCCTAATTCTGAATTATTTGTTCTATGCAGACATTATGTGATATATACAGCTGTCATATGACACAGTTGTGGCATATGCAAATGTACTGTGTTCTATTCACTGTTGCTTTTTTGCCTGTCATTATTTTAAGGGTTTCACAGAAAAAAAAGTCAAGTAGTTTAGAAGATTTGCAGAGTGAATCCTTGGAAAAGGTTGGTTTATTTGTAATCACAATTTCTGGTGTTTAATATCATGACTAAAAGATAAGGATCAAGTACAAATATTCTTTTTGTTTCACATGTCGTAACCTTAACCACCACTAACATTGTATGCGGTGAAAAAAGCCCCAATGATAAAACAGTTAAGGTTCTTTTTTTTTTTTTTTTTGTTTAACCCCATTGCCAAGCTTAGAATAAACAAACTAGCTGACACACCCATACGTACACATCCTGAAATTCAGCTTTTCAGCTGAAAAAGAAAAATATTAAAGAGAAATACAACTAATCATGTTAATGAGGAGTCATTTTGTTGAACTGCCCTATTATTTTGTTTATAGGTAAGTGCTTTTAAAATAATTTTGACTTCCAAATTGGTGAAAATATTAAGGCAGCAAATCCTGAGAGTAATTAAGTATTGGGTCTGGATATTTCTACATAGGATTCCTTTTTGAGTGTTTGCATGTAAGTATGAGTGTCGCTCCCTAACTTAGACTTCTGATATAAATGGCATCCCTGAAGATGGTAGTGATGCTGCCTTAGCTAAAACAGCAGGAGTGCTGTTACTAATTAAAAGGCCTAATTCCATTCCAGAATCTTAAGAGAATTCCCAATTTACAAAGGCTCGTTACGTTATGGTCCAGAGGCTTGTTTTGTCATTATGTGCATTGAAATTTTTCTGCCCTTGTAATAATGCTTTGTGAGACTTGCTATTGACACTTTCTATACTCAAATTAGGCTTAATTAGATGCCATTTAAAATGGATACTAGTAATATGATTGTTCCAGTTCTTCAAATTTTCTTAAATTTTTCTTTAAACCTCTGAAGACGACAGTGACCAAATAGAATGTTTGAAATTGGCATTGCATTCATGTGATTGTGGTCATACATATGACAAATCAGTTCAGAACTAACATTTTATTCCATGTGGAATTTATGAAGGTCTGTTTTCTTTTCATAACTTTTAAATTATTTTCCTTTCTTAAATTTAAAAACTTAATTTGTCTCCATGATATGATGTGATAAGGCTGTACCTACGCATTTAGGTTATTCTGTGTATTCTGTTACATCAGAGTCCACAGAAAACCAAGAACTACCAAGGATATGAGAGAATTGTAGCAAGCCAGCCCCATGTTCAGCAAGGCATTTAAGTTGTACACACTAATTTGAGGCATGAGGCTTCTTGGGGAAATAACTGAGACTGTGCTACGTGTATGAGTAAATGGCTAAATGTGAATTAGTTACAACCAAGGGCCAAGAGAACTTGTTTTGCTGACCCAGCATGACAAGACTTCGCTTCTTGCATTAAGTCCAAGAGAACCTGTGCTAGCAGCACTGTTTCCTGAAGCTATTCTACTTTGCACAAAACTCAAATTCCAAGTCTAGCGGTAATAATAATAAAATAAAACACACTGGTGTCTCTGACGTAGCCATGCAGATGTTTTTATCACTTCATTTCCATCACAGCTCTTGTTTATGGTTTCAGCTGGATATATAGCATATTATGTACTTTTTATGTCAGTCATTTTCATACTGTTTTAACTGTTAAAGAACTATTACGTTCACAGCTTAAAGTAAGCCTCCAGGGACCACCCAAGAAGCCTAAAAATAGAAAAATACCTTTGATCGCAACAGAACCTAAACATGGCCTGAATTCTGTAGAGTGGTTTGAACAAACACATTTAGTATTAAGTATTTTATTGAAATCAAATGAAGAGATAACAGGCCTTGTAATATATTGTCAATGCATTAAGTAGCATCACTATAGTAGTAAGACTACAATTGATGTTCTGTGTATGTATGTTAATACTAACATTTGTCTGTTGCTTTTTTCCATAAAACTTTGACATTACCCTCCTTGCAACTCCGTAGTATGTAGACGGAAAACCAGTACAGCCTGTTGTAGAACAAGAGGTATATTAACTGTAAACTGTCGTAACATTTGTCTGTTGTGATGTGCTCTGATGGTATGGCTGTTTTTTAAAATGTTTGCATAGTTCAATTACTGACAGACTTGGAGAACAGGGGTAAGGATTTGAGAGGGAAATCTGGGGTTTTTTTATGTAAAAGCTATTATGTGAGATTAGAAACTGAAGCCCATCAATTTCAGAAAATATGGTGCTAACATAATTTCTCTCCTCATATAATTTTTGGTACAAGTCAGGATGTACTCCTGCAGTTGCCAAAACAGGAGCAGGGGTTGAGGAATCCAGGAATCTGGACTGCAGTTATAGTATCACAAAGGTATCTTTAGGCCTTGAAATAAGAATAGATAAACCAGTGGTTATCTCATTAAGTGTTTCATGTATCATCCTGTCAGAGACAATGTTTTAGAGACAATTTTGTTAAAATGGGGTTACTTAATAGAAGCATACTACATAAGTGTTGTGTATTTTCAGTACAAAGTTCTCCTGCATAACCTCCTTTCTGAGACTGAAACATTTACCCATATGAGCTTGTTCCAAAACACGCAATGAACATACACCACTCCCACTAATGGCAATTGGAGTGGCAGGTTCATTTTTCTCTGGAAAAGCCTCTAGTCCTATACTTTTGACAGGTGTGGGATATACATTTTTGTCCAGCATGATGGCTTCTTCATCTTTTCATTTGGATTCAGTATGGAAGAAGCCTCAACGTGCAGTTTCCAAAGTACCTCTGTGAAATGCATACTTTGGCTGGAAAATTATCTCGTTAGGCTCCAAACCATCAGATTGATATGCAAGTTCTAATCTACCCTTGTACAAGGAGCAAGATTCCCAAATAGTTGATCACTGAAAAATTGAATGCAAGGAAAATTAAGAGATATTCAGTTTTTAGCAAACCCTATATACCGGTTCCCTTTCAACAGAATATACAGAGACTTTGAGGACCACCTCTTGTGAGCTCTGTTGCTGGTGGAAGGTCCTCCCAGCATAAGAAATCTCACTGATGCTAGTGACACCGTGTGTGTGTTCCATAGCTGCAGGCAAGCATACCTTAGACTCTTAGAGCCATTCAGACTAGCCCTAAAATACAGCTCAGTTTATGCTTTTTTCCCCAGCATGTATCAAAAGTATACCTTGTGCTTAGGGTCTATAATAGAATTGTCAGTAACATATTTAGCTATATATTTGGCAACTATATATTTAGCTATAAGTATTTTTTTAAAAACATCAAATTTGTAATGTTATTTATACAACGAGATCTTAATTCTTACAAAAGTGAAATTTCTGTAGCCTAACTTCATTGTTGATTCTTTTACTGTTATTAATGGTGGTGGGCAAATATGTTTGACCAGATTTGAGTTATACAAATACTTTTGGCTTAAATTCCTGCAAGATACAATTGTGAGGCAGAAACATAGACAGTCTGGTGAAATACAGGGTAAAAAATTGACAGAGCAAGAATGGGCTCAGAAGTAACTCAGAAGAAGTACATTTCTGGCACTAAAATTATCTAGACCAATTATCTAGTGCCAGGGTCCTGGAGGAAAGGGAGACAGCTAGAAAAATTGTTTTGACAAAACCAGATTAATTTTCAACATAATTCTATTTTAGTGAAATATACAGTCTGGCTGAAGTGGAAGGGGCATATGAGGGGAGGGAAGAGAAAAGGCTGTGTCTTAGCTAGAAAACTTTCAGCTGACTATTGGATTTAAATTGAATTATCTGTAAGGAGGAACATGGAGGGCATGGTGTCATTTAGAACCATGAACTTGAAATAATTTTTGTCAACTTTTAAAATATTGTGTACTGGATTGCAAATGCTAGGAGTGATTTATTTTATTTTTCCCTCTGTAAAAAAAACAGAGTAAGCCACTTGTGAAAGGCAGCAAGTATCAAACCTTGCCAGGAAAGCTGCCTAGACCCTTACAGAATGGAGAGCAGGGAACATACAATTCGCCAGATGGGTGTGGCATGAACGACAATGAGGACAACAGCATCCTGGGCCTGAGTACGTATCCACGCCTCCCTGAGAGAGTTATGCAGAAGGGAAAAAAGCAAACTGCTTGAGGGATTGGGACATCACATGGTATATAGTCTGCTATGCCGCAACAATGGGCTATAAGGTTCACCTGATTCGGTTAGGGAAAGTTCGACTTCTTTTTTTAGCGATGTACCAAAAGTATTCCACATTAGCTCAATGGAGAGTAAAGGATGGTTTTAAGTTAGAGCATTCTTTTCTGTTGCACTTGATGATATAATTTGCTGACATCATTAATAGCGTAAGTAATGAAGAGATGCTGTTTTGAAGATTGTGGGGAAAGCATTCTGAAAGTCAATAAATCTGTAATCCAAAAAATGGCAACTTGTAGAGTTGCAGACATACTGATAATATAAATAAGCAGTATTTTTTCCAGACAGGCTTCCAGTGCTCCCCTGAGCTTGCTGATCTGTTTCCTTAAGAAACAAGCAAGCAAACAAAAATGCACAGCCAAGTACATCATCAATACTTTTTCACTACACTGGTGCATTAGAACAAACCAACCTGTCCCTTGCCATCCCACTGCACTTTCATGTGTGATACTTTACAATATAACTCGTACTAATGCGCACGTTTCAGGCGAGAATCCCTAGTACCGGCACTACTGGTTGCTGTAGCTTGTGGAGACCCACAAGTGAAAAATTAACTTGCTAGGTGCAGAAAAACACCAGTGGATTTTGAAAATGCAATTATATTGTTATACCACAACGATAGCCACATGTGGAATCCTGTATTATTTCTTTTCAGTGACATCCTAAGGATAGATTTACTGACAAAAAGTATTAACAGTGAGGCACAGAACCAGGTGTTTGCCAAGGACTGAAGAGCTTGGGAGCACAGGCGGAAGAGTATTCCTTGCAATTTTTAAGTGCTCCTACACTTTAAAAGTTGTGGTGGGGTTTTTTTTTGTTTAGTTGGCTTTTTTGTTTAAGGCCTCACAGTCCTAAAAGCTGGTGGGGTACTGTAGTTTCAAGATTTCAATAGGTTATGGGTTGTTTAAAAAGGTTTTTTTAAAGAGTTTTTCTCTGATTGCAACATTGTAGGCAATCCATGAGCCATGCTATTATGTCTTTACTGTAGGATTATCCAAGGGTGGGTGGTCTTGTAAAGAAAAATGTTCTTTTTCTAGAAACAAGCAATGACTCCTTATATACACTGAATTAACAGAATTTTTTATGCAGGTTGGTTTGTTTCTTGTGTATGCAGTAAACTCATTATAGCTCTAATTCTGTATTTCGGAGGCATTTGATGTAATCTTAGACATTGCTTCATTTCAGATGTTCTGCAGGCTTTATGGAGCTCTGCAGTATATGCTTAATGTGTTAAAAATGTCTAAGAATAGTTGAAAAAAAAAACCCAACCAAAAACCAAAAAAAGATAAATGATCATCCCTATTTGTTCAAGATGGCCTGTACAGAATTCTTGAGGCTTGTGCACACCAATGCATATTCACTTTCACGTCAAGCATATCTGCTTCTTTTCTTTTTGTTTCTGCTTTTAATACTTAGCTTACTTCTTTGCTCTTCTGTAACTTTATTTTGCTGGTGTTTTATATCTTCTTTGCTTCTTCATTTGGCTTTCTGCTTCTTGGGATGACTGAAGATCGCATCAGGAGTGTCAGTGCACCAGTGCTAGGTACTGTATCCAAACAAGATGCATCTTTAACATGAATTTTGCTGCTTACTTTTTTCCTTTCCTTCTTCCCTCCCTACTCTTTGCTATGAAATACTAAGTGGGCCATCCAGACTGAAGTCCTTAATTGCAGTACTGAAATGAAGTAACAGCTCAAATGGCATTTCTTTTTAAGATACTTATTCCTGGTTTCATTCTGTTTTCACTGAATTCAACAGAAAAATTCCCTCTGATTTTCGTGGAGGAGTTATGGTATTAAGAATGGGCAAAGCAAGAGTCTGCTTCAGTCTGAAGACCTTAAATTAATTAAAATAATGTATTTAAATACAAATGACTGAAATAACCATACCATCTTACCCAATGTTTTATTATTTTCTTTTTTGTATCAAATGTACAGCTACTTTTTTTTTTTTCACCTTCTGAGCATGGTGGTTCTTATACAAGAACAATTTCATAGATACCTTCACTTTTTTATTATGTTCTGCATTTAAACATTAGTCTCGCAGATAACAACTTTGTTAATAATTAGTATAAAATATGACTATATTACTGTTCTTAACCCAGGAGAAACTGAGAATGTGGATGGCACAGTAGTCTCAGATGAACCTTCACCGCTTTCTTCCGGAACGGATTCAGGTCCACAGTCTCCATTGTCTCCAGAAAACAGAAAGAGTCCAAAAGGGATCAAGAAAATCTGGGGAAAGTAAGGTCATTTTTTTTTTAGTTCCCTGTCAAAACATTTCAGCTCAGAATGAACCCAGTTCTTGGCAAAAGCTACACTATCTACAGCAAGAATAAAGTACAATTCAGGAAAAGGAGAGAAAGCAGCTCTGTGATTGTATGGGTGTGTTTCTATGTACACATGGGTGCAGAAAAATGGATGGTAATGTTCACAGCATCATGCTGTTGGAAGAAATAAGACACTCTGCTGTCATCTTAATGGTAATAAAATGCCAGCAGTTTCATTAGATAGGAAAAAATAAACGATAGTAAGTTGTTCATTATAGAAGGCATCGGGTAAAAATTAAGAGAAAACAGAAGGAACAACAAAAAGCAAGGGGACCAAGCTTTACTGTGTTCACTTTATCTGCTTCAGGACAGCAGGCATTTACAAGCCTGGCCTCCGGTGTGGTTTATTAATTGGATTGAAGGGTTAGGGCTGCTCTGCAGAGCTTTATTCTTTCCTCAGAGTTAGGTCTAGTCAGGTTTGCCTGGAACTTCTTCAGCTACCACTTGAATTAGATGTTTGTAGTTTACAGGAAGATTAATACAGCTGCTAGTTGTCACTGCAGTTTCCATACGAAACTGTTCTCTATTGCAAGCTAATAGTACTATTTTGGCACTCTTGTCTTGAAAGAATAAGAAGAACTCAGTCAGGTAACTTCCCTGCAGACGATCTGGGTTTAGCAGAGTTTCGAAGAGGTGGCCTCCGTGCAACAGCTGGACCTCGGTTATCTAGATCAAAGGAAACCAAAGGCCAGAAAAGGTAACGGTTCCTTCTTTACCTCGCACAGCATATTATGCAGTATTGCTAAATGTGCTGAACGGCCAAACTCTCCTCTTGTGAAATAACGTTTTTCCCAATGTACTTCATTACATGTGGAATTCCACAACAACTGTAAAGTATCTCTCTGGTAGAAAATGCATCCTGAGTAGCTCCCCTGTTTGCACTCCTTCAACTGCACGTTACAGCACTAGCTGTGTGTTGGACTGCCACAAATTTCACCTTGTTAAAGAACAAGATATATTCCCATAATCATCTCCTGTGGGAATATCTGCAAAGGGATGAGGATTCAGCAATTCCCTTTTTCTTCTTTTCTAATAGAAAATGGGAAACTCTTATTTGTGCCCCCTCCCCAGCTGTTCACAAGTTGAGGCTAGGCGGCCAAATTAAGAGGACACTAGTACCACAGCACATACTGCGAGAATGGCCGTTGGCTTTTATTACTGCACAGAACAAAGCACACTAATACACATGCTGTAGCACTGCCTCCGGTACACGAGGAGCTTTCTGATAATAACCATAATTCTGTCCTTTAAGATTCTTCAAACATTTCTTGTACTTTCCAGTGACTACAATGCTCCGTTTGCTCAGTGGAGCACTGAACGAGTTTGTAACTGGCTTGAGGACTTTGGTCTCGGTCAGTACGTCATTTTTGCACGGCAGTGGGTGACTTCAGGCCATACGCTGTTAACTGCGACACCTCAGGACATGGAAAAGGTAACAATCGGCAGTTCTGCCTTTCTGAAATATGTAGTATCCATTTTTGTAGATACCTAAATGAGATTAAAAGAGCCAGAGGCAAGGCAAACCACTTGTTAACGGTTACTGTTGCAGGAAATGGGAATAAAGCATCCACTGCACAGGAAGAAATTAGTTTTGGCCATTAAATCAATAAATGCAAAACAAGACGAGAAGTCTGCACAACTCGATCATATCTGGGTGACACGTAAGTGCTTGAACTGTCAAGGAATTGTTTGGAAAGGAATTTAGGAATTTCCCCCACCCTTGGGGAAGGGCTTCCTGATACACATTTGTTTAAGCGGTTACTAAACATCTTTTTAAAGGTACTGAGTTTCAACACACTAGAATGAGAATTTTTGGGGTGTTCTTGACATCCCAATTATACAGCTCTGCGGTATGATCTTCCAAGGGGAACTCCATCATTCAGATTGCAGGGAAGTAAATAGGGGTGAGGGGGCTCAATCTAGCAAAGGCCGCGTTGTGCTGCAGAAGGTATGTGCTCAGTCACACACCGTATGTAAAATATTCCAGGGGGAGTGTGGACAAAGCTGGTGGGAATTGCTTTTAGGCTTCTGGTAAGAGGCTGTCCTCTGGAAAGGCGAATAGGTAGAACGAGCTACCTGAATGCCTCAGAAGAAGCCAGCCCAGACAAGAAGAGGAGAAGGGCTTCGTTCTCGCTGATCTGGATTTGGGTACACCACTGTTCTTGTATCTGCAGGATGGCTTGATGATATTGGTTTACCTCAGTACAAAGACCAGTTTCATGAATCCAGAGTTGATGGGAGAATGTTGCAGTACTTAACTGTGGTAAGCTAAAATCCTTTTTCCTCAGTTTAGCCAAATTTAGCTTCAGAATGAGCAAAGAATTTTACAATTTTCCTTTGAATGTGAGCAGTTAAAGAATTTTTTGCAAGACGGAAATAGTCCCAGCAGTAACTCATCCGTGTTGTCTAGTGCATGATTACTATTCCTAGGGTATAAGTCATAGGGTATGTTATAGCTAATTTCCACAAAGTCTTTCTTTCGATATCATGTAGCACACCGTGATTAAAGGTAAAATGACCTATTTTACTTCTGGAACGTGGTGTTCTCCACACCAAGTTAGCAACAATACTCAGTATACTAACGATAAGCAGCAATTCTAGTAATCTGTACAGCTCCAACCACATTAGCGGCAAATGTGGTTGGAGCTGTGCAGTGGAGTATACATGCCACTGTGTTTTCTTACATCTTCCCTGCCCAGGTTTGGATAATTAAGTATTTGTTTTTGTTAACTGTGCTATGAAAAAAATGCCTCATCTAACTTATCAAAAGTACAGCCTTGTCTGTGCTGCTTCAGGAGCCTCTGCTATAGGACCATGGTCCCTACTGTTCATGGTTAAGTGTGTGTTGCTAGCTGCAGTCATCCTACCCACAACAGGATCTTAGCCAGATTGGAAACAAATATTTTAAATTTTAAAATGCCCAAATATTTTAAAATTATCCAAGAGCCAGGATTTTTCTCAATAGGGCTATAAGTTCTCCTTCATATTTTAGCCAGGTTTTTCTTTAAAAAAACAAACAAAAAACCCAACAAAAACCTGCAGAATCCCCACGCTAAAAAACTGTCTTTAAAATATAAACTTTTACTTTACCTAAACCATAGTTACTGTGGTTTGTATAGAACTACATAGCAAGCTCAAAATCTTTCTTCGTGGGGAAAGTACCTGCCTTGGTATGCATTCTGTGCTCTCTCCTTTACAGAATGACCTTCTCTTTCTGAAAGTCACCAGTCAGCTGCATCATCTGAGTATTAAATGTGCCATTCATGTGCTGCATGTCAACAGTTTTAACCCCCACTGTCTACGCAGGAGACCAGTTGAGGAGGTAAAAGAATGTTTAAGTAAATTAATTTAGAGAAGCACTAATTACCTGATTCCAGCCAAAGGGATAGGAAGTTAGCAGTGTACGGTGATACCTCAGTCACTGCTACTAGGGAGTTGAGGCTAAAGCAGTAGTTATGCTGCTTTCTAGCTCTGGAATGTAACATGTACTCACCCATAATAAAAATCTACTCGCTCCTTAAGTGCTTGAAACACTTATTAGTTGAATCACATCCACTTCCTTTAGAAATTATTGGCTTAGTTTAAAGACGTTAATTCAACTTCCAAGAGAATAATTTGAAAGTTTTTTCTCGTCTGTCCTAATTTTTAGCTCTCAAAGACTGTAAGTTTTTTTGCCTTTCCTGGTCAGCATAGCTTATTCTCTTAGTGTTAAAGACTGACAATAATACTGTTGTCAAAATGCTCCCTTTTTTACACCCCGCAGCTGTAGTCTCTACTGTTATACTACATGATGCAATATATAGGGTTTCATCTGTACTAGACTATGCCTGCCACCTCATCAGAGGATGTTTGAAAGAAGTCTTGAACAGAAACAATACCTTAGAATGGGGGAAAAAATACTGCTCTTTGAGGAAGAGGAGGAATGATGTTTTTATCAGAACTGAGGATGCATAGCATGAACATGCCGTGATAATGCAGGCTACATTGTTATCATCTTCTCTGGTTACTTTAACAGAACAACGTTTCGCCTTCTGAAGTAGTTCAGTGGTCCAATCACAGAGTGATGGAATGGCTCAGGTCAGTCGATCTGGCAGAATACGCACCAAACCTTCGAGGAAGCGGAGTGCATGGTGGCCTGATCGTAAGGACCCGTTTTAACATTTTACTACATATATACTAAAAATTGATAGTCTGTAACATAAAATGTCTTTTATCCGGTGTTTGTCAAGAGGAGGAAACAAATACATTTGCAGTATGACAGCATGATCAGGCCTTCAAAAGAACCTCTGTATCTGATCTGTGCATCTTAATTTTACAAAGGAAAACTAAAACAAAGAAGGGACTGCTAAAATGTTTTTTATAATCAAAGCTGAGCTGCACATGCGTGTTTAACAGCAGTATTTTAAAAAACCTGAACTGTACTGTGGGAAAGTTACTTATTGATAAGGCATCATTGAGTTTTTCTTTGAGTGGTTTTAATAGAATTCTAAATAACTGTCCTGAACTCACAACAGTCTTGCCTGCAATCAGGACTGACACTTTCTTAATTCAAAACATTTAGAACCATTTGCAGCTTAGTAAAGTCAGAGTTCTGAAATACCATGATTCTAGTGCTGTAGAATTTTTGCAAAAATGAAATGGAAAAAATGGTGCTAAGATTAAGTTTATACTCTCAGAGTACAGCAGAAAATTCTGAAAACAAATTTGTTCAATCCAAAGAAATGTAAGGTTTGATGATAAATATAGTTAGGTATTTGTCTGATCACGTTCCGCATTTCTTGGTGCCTACCTTCATGGATTTCCCACTCCAGCCCTAGTGAGTATCGTATCACAGTGAGTTATACAAGGTCTGACATAGATAGCTTAGCAAGAATGAGAAATCCCTCTGATAAGCACTGTAATGGTTTACTATTGCAACTATTTTACCATACACAAAATAAATATTCTGCCATTTTTTAATAGATTCTGGAACCGCGCTTCAACGGTGACACACTGGCAATGCTGCTGAATATCCCACCTCAAAAGACCCTACTGCGACGCCACCTAACAACCAATTTTAATGTATTAATTGGCCCAGAGGCACAACAAGAAAAAAGAGAAATAACGGAGTCAACAGCATACACACCTCTGACCACCACTGCTAAAGTTCGGGTACGTACTGCTTTCAAAAAGGAGATATTTCAGAATGTCAGACTTCCTCTCCCCCTGCCATCTTATGGGGAGAAAAAGAAAAAAAAAAAAAAAAAAAAAGGACAAACATGGGCGGAGAGATCAGTTCTAGGGAGAGTGTTACATTTTCCTTAATTCTAACTGCCAAAGCATTTAATTTGTATCTGGTTAAATGAGCTCCTGAAATAAGCATGTAATCACATCTTTGCTTCGAAGGAATGCTATCTAAATGTATGTAAAATCAACTGCAACTCCCAAGTTGGAAACAAATTTATTTAGTTCAGAATGTTATGTACTTTAAGGACTGGGGTAGAGCAGTAAATCAAAAAGGAGAGAATTTTGAATGTTTAAAGGACAACCTTATTTTTCTTATTTAAAACTTGTTGTCTTATTTTAGCCAAAGAAACTTGGATTTTCACATTTTGGAAACTTAAGAAAAAAGAAATTTGATGAATCAACAGACTACATTTGTCCTATGGATACAACCCCAGCTGCTGCGAACGGTACTCAGAAAAACTATGGTGGCTACAAAGGACTTAGTCCATTCACTGATAGGGAACTGGAGCAGGTGGGACAGACAGACTGATGCCATTCTCATCTCATCCTCTCCATGCATTCCAAAGCTTGCAAATAACCAAATGTTAGCATGTAACAAAGCATTTGCTATGTCCGCATGAATTCATTGAGAAAGCAGTGGCTATGGACATTGGAAAGAGTTCTATGCTAAGAATATGTCAGGTTAATTTTTGTAATCAACATAATAATAAACTCATCCATCTTCAAGCCCTTTTTCAGGAATACAACACCTTTACACTATGAAGATCGATGTATTTTGGCAATTAAGGTGGTGGTTGCAGTAAACACAAGACTTTTGTACTTCTAGCTTTCATAATCTACATTTTTCGTTATCTTTATGGGTGGTTTTTAATGTAATAAATTTATTTGGACTAATTTGTACAAAGCTGTCAAGTTATATATTAAAGTACAACTGGATTGTGTATTTTACAGACATTAATCAAAGAATCCAACTGAATTTTTCTTCCTTTATGTACAGCAGGGAATAGTTATGCTTAGACAGTATATGTGAAAATAATGCATCAGTAATTAAGTAATAAAGTAAACACAATTATTAATAAACCAATACTTAAGTAATTCACTTCTGTTATGTAGTAGTGAATTTGTGAAACTCTGTCTAGACATCATACAGACAAATGATGAAGACTAAAAACCATCACATTTTATTCAACTTTGCTGTTGTGTAAAGGGATGTAAACCCTGAAAAATGGAGCTCCTGGAGTCTTGTGTGAACTTTGGCAACACATAAGAGCCAGACAGAGGCAGCTGGGGTAAACTGTCCTATCCCCACTGACCTTAAGTGAGATAAAACATTTTAAGCCTAGTAAGAGAATGGTCACAAAATTGAAAAGACTAACTGTGAAAGTAATTGTTTCATTTGCATGGTTTACTGCATGTAACACCTCATTTGTGTTCATTATCTAACCCCTTTTTCAATGCACACCTTAGCAAAAAAAGTACTGTTCCTAAGTAGGGACAATACCAAATCCTGACTATAATTTAGTATCGCTGCCCACTTGCACAGTTAAGAGTTGCCACTTGCACAGTTAAGAGTTGCAAGCGAATGCATTAACTTTGAGCCAACAGCTTACACTATGCAGCTGTTCATGCATTACACAAATGCTGGCTTTTTCTCTAAGAGCATGGCCTTTCCATTAAGCAGGAGCTGTAAGCATGTGGTCATGCAGGTAAATCTCAGTGCCCTAGAACTGATAACCTTTTTATATAAGACTAGATAGAACTGTGTCATGAAGAACTCTTACTGCTTGCCTCTGGAAGATGATTACCAGAAGTACAATAAGTGTTACACCATCTGGAAAATATTACTCTTCACTGATAATATCAGTTAAGCTTTTTTATTTTCTTGTGTGAATTACAGTTCACGTTTCATGGAATCAATCTTTCTTAATCAGGATTCACTCTTCCTGTCCTTAAACGCACTTCCACATACCTTGTAACATGGAGGCATTTTTGTTAGTGCGCAGAAATCAGAGCTTTTGAACGTACCACGACTTCATTTGTCCAGGCACAGATACCTCCCAAAGATGCATGTAGAGTGAATAAAATGGCACATACTGTGTGATTTGAACTAGTTCCTGAATACTTTTACAGATGGAACATTCAGAAGGAACAGTAATGCAAATAGGGGCTCTTTCTCAAGGCATAAGCCATCTTACGGTACGTACTAATTTCACTCTTGTTTTAAAGTCACAAATGTATTCTGCTAGAATTTGGTGAAAGTTGGTCATTGCTGGTGATAGTTAAAGAGTAAGTGGGTCATTATATTGTTAGTTTTTTGTATTATTGTAGCCTTCTTGCACATTCACAGTCAAAAAAACCCCTGCTTTTAAATAGCACTAGAAGTTAATTTTAATTTAGGCCTGTTTTAAATTTTCATGAACTCTGCCATTGGGTCAAAGAGATAGCAGATATTCATCCCCTTAAACAATTCTTCAAAGATTTTGCAAGTAACAACCACTGAATGCCTCGGTCACAGCAAAGAGAAAGACTTGAAAATTTACACAAGCTAAAACTCCATGGAAAACAAAACAAAAAAAATCAGTGTATTAGTTCCTGACTCCATAGTACCTAATTTAAAAAAAAAAAAGTTGACTGAAAGTCATAATGAAGAATTACATAACATAGTTGAGTCACATGCCACACACACAATCTCTGAGAATTTTCTCAAGTAAATAATAGCTTATTTAAAGCTGCATTTGAGAAACTCCTTTTAATTTTATGTGACTCTAACCCCCTCTGTTGTGCATCTGATCTCATTACAGTTGGATTTCTTTAACCATAGGCCTCTAACTGAAAATGCTGACTTGTTCACATCTTGTTTTTTCAGACTATGTTAAGCCAAGATGAAACGCTGAATGACAGCAGATTTTTAACACCTACCTTTGAAGACTGGAGATGATGTTTTAAGGTGACCAAGAACGCTAATAATACCTCATGCCTGTCCAGAGAGGTGGCCAGGAGAAGCTTGATGCTGTGGTACAGAAAAGCTTTACCTCTTTTCTGCCAACGAGACTTGTCACATAGCATTTGATATTGTCAATGCAGCAACGCATTACAGGTTAACTCTCCTAGGTGCTGTTCTCCACATTACGTAATGTGAAATAGGTGTTGAGAGAGAAGTGGTATTCAAATCCAGAGTCTGGAAAGCCAAGACTGGCACCATGTTTTACCCGTTAATTCAGTCATCTTTTACATGGTATGTTTATGTACTGTTCTATGAAAGATCTTTTTTATTTTTATAATTAGCTTGTAATGCAGAAATCATTCATGTTCTATTGTGACACGTGGACTAATCAGAGCCACCTAGAAATTCAGATGGATGCTGGTGAGTGCAGCAGTAATGGCTCACTAACTACTACTGCAGTCTTGCCAGAGACTGTTTCCCATAAAAGGATTTTAATCTCTCATCCCTTCCATTAGCACAGGTCCTGCCCTCTTTTTCTCTAAGTGCAGTGTAGAATGGGAAGAATGGAACATAATACTATCCATCAAGCTCCTGCTTTTATCAGGAGGATGACAATAGAGATAGGTAAAGATGTGTGAACATGCTAACTCAAAAATATGCTGAACAACTTACAGCAGGAAATGTAACTTTGAGACTCCCAGGAAAACTGATCAATTCAAAAGCAGGTGCTTCACTTAAAGGGATTTTTTTTTTTTTAATTGCGTGATTTTTACACGTGCACTAAGATATTCATGATCAAGGAGCAATCACAACACTTAACTATTGTAAAATGTAACTTTAAGAGTGGTGTTTACCATGCTCTGTTGAGTAAGTGCAACAGGATTTCCAGCATGATCATTGTTTGGTTTTAAATGACAGTTAAGTAGAACCATTGAACGGGCTCTTTCTGTACACAGCCATTTTGTCTAAAATGGCTAGGACTGGTGCACATGTGCAAGCATCAGGATGCTCATAAGCCTTCTGAACAGTCAAAGTGCTTCAGACAAAGTTTTCTGAGCTCCGTGCCTGGCTGATCTGAAACCTAGTACAGGCTCTCAGGAGAACAAAGATGGTAATAAGCCTATTTTCCTTCCGTAGTTACACCTAATTAAAGATATGGCTGCAAACAGCCCTGAGCACTGGAGATTGCAGTAGAAACACTTCTATAACGTTTTCATGAGAACTGGTGATGTTGTAAACAATATTGCTGTTCACTTTCAGTTCTCCCTTCCTGCTACAGATAGATTTTCATATAATACTTTATTTAGCAATAGGAGACAAACATTACTGCTCTGTGATGTATAAAATGTGACTAAGGAGCATCCTACAAGTACCATAATAAAATAAATATTTGTTTGTTTACAACACCTGACAAAATAGATCTGTTGCTATTCTACTGAGCTAGGACTGCAGCACTGTAACAGAAGGAAGTATGGTCTCTCACTACTTACTCAAGGGGCTGTTTGGGGGTGAAAGTGTCTCTGTTACACAGCAGTAATTACTTGCGGCATCTGTTGACGTGTGCCTCTCATGCATTAATAAGGTATTAACAAGATATCTTAGTAAATAGGGAAATGCCAGAAAAGAAATCTGCTCAATTGTAAAGAAAAGACTTCATAAGTATATGGATGGTTTGCATTACCCTCTCCTTGCTGGCTCCAGGGTGTTGGTTTACATACTAATACAGCCTGAGGACAGGTCACTCCCCGCCACAAGTCTCCCAGATAAAGGAGAAATCTCAGGTACTGCCCAGAGGAAGCAGCACAGGGCTCTTCGAGAGCTATCAGTGGCACTTTTTAAAGGTGACCTATTCTAGTCCTCACTCCATGAGCCCCTCATGACAGACCCTGCACTGTATGGTCAGATTTTAGAAGCTAAACACATTATTGTCCAAAATGGTAAAACCAAGGCAATTTTTTTTTCCCATCACTGAACAATGAAATGATAATGGAAAATCCAAAGGAATGAGAAGTCAGTCTACACATCAGCAAACTAAAAATGCTTAATAAAAGGTATTAAACGTACCGGTCAAGTACGTCTTCCATCTGGCAATGCAATCAACACTAGTGACCAGATCACGTACTACAGCCATTTGAAATACTTTGTCAGGTTAATTAGCCAGCAGACTTATTACGGCACTACTAATAGGATAAGCTGCTCCAACAGAGACAGCCTTAATATCACTGGGGTATTTCAAGCAGATTTTCAGATTTCTTTTGATGATGTATTTATAACTCAGCGTGGTGTTGTGCTAACTTGGCTGTGAATAGTCAATCTACAAAATTACTGATTTTTAAAATGTATATATATATTAAGAAATCCTAATTAGCATAACACTGGCATAAATGCTTATTTTTTGACTGTTATGAATAAATTCTGGATGTTCCTCTATCTCTTGCTGACTGTGGAATGATTCTAACACGTGTGGTTGATCTCTCATCAGGGACAGAATCACAGTCTGAATCCTTGCATCTGTCTTTGCATTATTGCTACAAATGTAACTGAAGAAGTACAAAACCCCTATGTCAGTTTTTAACTAGTAGATTCTTTCTGTCTTGCTTTAGATGAATAAAAACATTTAGTAAACATATTCATTAGCATCTGAAGAAGCAAGTCTTCTGTCTAAGGGATTTGGCAGACCCTAAAACAAATGTAGTATAAACTACTTTCTGTAAATGAACATGCAGTACTGCAGGCACCGAAGACTGAGAATTAAGTGCTATATGGTAAAAAATGCTAAGATGAGACATTAGCTGAATATAAGATCAACTTAGTAGGGCTTACAATAGAAAGTAAGAAGCCATGTTTTCTTGTAAGCAAAGGAAATTTCTGAACCACCAAAAGAGCAAGCACTATACTTAGAGAATGGCATTCAAATAATGTAACATCACTGGATATTTATGTCTGTATATGCAGCCCAGAATTTCCATATACAGTTGGCAGCGATTGTTTAGCTAAGGCTGTTAGAAGACAGCATGAAGTTATGTAATCCTCCCAAATAAATTTCACACTACTGAGAATTTCTGTTACAATAATAAGTAATTTGCATGTTACCCAAATTCTGCTCACTTTTACAATATCATACTGGGAGTTCTTTCTTAGTCCCTGGTGAAAGGCTGTAAAACAGCACTTAAAAAAAAAAAAAAGGACAAAAGACTGTTCTTTGTACTGTCCTTCCCCAGGATTTGCTACATGAATTACTTATAAAGCACAGCCAAATAATCCTAGTCCAGTTTTATAGCCCTCTCCCAAACGCCATACCTATGTTAACAAGTGGCTTTCTCTCTCCTGCCTCTCCGATTACACTTAAATGTTTTTTTTTTTTCCTCAGAATTAACACTATCTTCTTAAGTTAGCATGAAGTTACTTCCACACAATTCAAGATTATCTCTCAACTTCTTAGTATTAAAACATGCCAAGGTAATTATGAAGTTATAAACCACAGAAGTTACATTAAGCAGTTAAAACACAGACACACAAAAATACTGCACAGTTACTACCAGTTGTTCCTGTAGGAAAATATGCAGTACTTACAAAAAGGTATCAGATGACATCAGCGTTAATAAGAAAATGTACTGCTCTTGGGATATCCAAGTTTGTCCAGGTTGGGCTGACACGCAAACTGAATCATAGGTGGTGGCCCACACATGAGAATGAGTGTCTCACTGCCAGGAGAAGGGAGGTGGGTTTTAATCATGTCTGCAGTGATGAAGCCAGAACTGTACTTCCAATCTGAAACAAAGAAATTAAACTATTAATTTGAACCTCTGTACAGTGTGAAGCCTTTTTAAACTGCCTATGCCGTACTCACAAAGTAGCTGAAGAATAAGCAAAGTTACTCTACTATCACTGCAAGCCAAGAGTGTGTTAAATCTCTCAGTGAGCTCAAACTGAGTGGTCCCCTTCGACAGGGCTGACAAGCATGTGGGTAACAAGGATCTCGGTGATAAGACATGAAAGTCTGTGAATAAATGATAGATGTAAAAGAAATTAGACAGCAGGTAGGACTAAGCAGGAAGAGTAAATCAGCTTTTCCAGTGAAGAGAGGTCACCCAAGGGCAGTTGTGCAGGAAAAGTTATTGAGACCTGTGCCTCAGAAATCGTGTGGTGAGGTGATGAAGTTTGACGATGACAAAAGTTCTGCCATGTAGTTAAGTGATAAGAGGAAAAAAAAAAAAAAGAGGAAAGAAATGCTAAATGATACCAAGCAGTGATATTATTAAATGCATCTGCCATTTAAAAAGTGAGCCAAGTAGGAAAAATAATCCTGCCTTCACATATAAAAATATGTGCTTTAAGCTCATTTATCAGGAGCAAGATTATGAAAGCAGCAGCAGTGAAAAGACGTATTAAAATGTTACGTATCAGGAAAGGAAAAGGAAATGCCATGTCAAAGTAAAAATACAGTTTGCCTGCATCTTGACTACTGCTGTTCGGTTCTGATCTGCTCCACTCAAAAAGGGACACAGCAGAGCTGGAAAAGGTTGAGAGAACAAGGATGAGCAAAGGTTTATTATCACTGCTATGTGGGGCAGATCAGAAATCTTCAGTATAGATGAGATGGGGCAGCAGGGGTGATTGATAGATGTCTGTAAAAATTAGTAACATGAAGACAGCTGGTAGGCACCTAGTCACACTCTCTTCCAACACAAGAATGAAGAGGCAATTGCAAACCAGAGGAAGTCATTCTTCACACAAAATTGCTAATCCTATGGAACCACTAACAGACTGCCAAAAAGCTCACAGAGGCTCCAAAGGAGACACAGTAAGTCCATACAAAAGTAGTCCACTGAGGATTACTGTATCTGTAGAAACACATTTGGCTCAGAAACTAGAAAGATTAAAGACTGGAAGAGTATCAAGGCCTCCTGATTACTCTGGCCATCTACTCGTGGCTATTGCTGACAACAGGTACAGAACTTTGATCTGACTCAGTTTGGCTCTTATGTCTGTTA